ACACGTTTTAAATTTGTCTTGATCTGATGTAGCCAGGTCACGTGAGTGGTTTAAATAGTGTTTCAATATTGTTGCAATAGTCTGCAAAATGATATAAGTCTTCTATAGCCAAAGGTTTGTTCTCTATATAAATAGCTAGACGTATGGTTGGTTTTAAAAGTCTAACGTTTTGTAACAAATGACTAAAAACATGCAACTTTTTATAGGGTTATTTTTCATAATTTTAGCAATTAATGCTACATATATAGCAAAAATAGAATATATATACGTACAACGAATATCAAATGATAGAATAACTTACAACGGACAATACAAATTCAATGAAACATTTGCTACTGAAATATTAGATCAACATAACGCCAAAAGAAGATTGCATGGGGCTCAATTATTAAATTGGAATTCGACAGTGTTCGAATATGCCGCAAAATATGCTCAAGAGTATGATTGCTCAGGAATACTAACTCACAGTGGAGGTAAATATGGCGAAAACCTCGCTATTGGCTATTCTGTCGACGGATCTATTAATGCATGGTATAACGAAGGTAAGACGTATATATATGGGCTGGAGAATACGTATAATCATTTCACGGCATTAGTATGGAATTCAACGAGCCAAGTAGGTTGTGCGTACAAATATTGTAATCCAACATGGGGAACCTATATCGTGTGTTCGTACTACCCTGCTGGTAATGTGATAGGGCAATCATCGAAAAATGTATTTCCACTTATTTAGCTACTTATAGATGTATCCTATATATTGCATAAAATTTTGCTATCAATATCAGTATAGTTTTCAAAGAAAGAGACAAATAAATCGCATAATCTAACAATATCATACGTTCCACCTGTTTCTCTAATTGAATGCATTGATAACTGGGGATTACCCAAATCTAAGGTCCTGATACCCAACTTTGCCGCAAGAATAGGTCCAATTGTTGATCCACAAGGTGAGTCATTTCTGACAACAAATAATTGCAAAGGAACTTGCACCAATGCTGCACACTTCTTTAATAAGACAATACCAGGAGAATTAGTTGCATACCTTTGATTGGCATTAATTTTGATGACAGGTCCCAAGTTAATTTGGGGTCTGTTTTGGCCCTCGTAGAATTCACCATAATTTGGGTGAACACCATGGGCCATGTCAGAGGACAATAAGAAGGATTTTGACATTGTTTCGTGAAAGTAGTCAACTGGTACACCATTTTCGCCCAGTTTACTGAAGTCAACTTTAGTTAATCTTTGAATTATGTCAGGTAAGAAGGTAGAGTCTGCCCCCTGAGCAGACACCGACCCAATTTCTTCATGATCAAACAAAGAAATCAATTGAATACCTTTTTGTTCTGATAAATTCTCGCTTGATCTAATCAACCCGTCCATGGCACAGTAGCACGAGGTCAAGTTATCTAATCTTGGGGAAAAAATAAACTCGTCATTTAATCCTCCAAGAGTTGATTTTTGGTGGTCAAATAACACTAATTCAAAATCCTCGATTTGGACGGGCTCAACATCACATTCTTTTGCAATGAGCTCAATCAAAGATTTGTTGTGCCTTTGGATCACCGACTGAACCGATTCAAATTGTTCTGGAGATAACTGTAAATCTGGGTCGTCTGCACAGCTTTTTGGGCTCTTGGAACTTTCAGCCTCGTTTTTATCCAATGCAACCTGTCCAGCTATTGGAACCAACTTGGTTTCCTTATTGAACTCAAACTTGGTGTTCACATCGCGGTTCAAATGGATAGCTAACGTAGGGATCCTCAAAAGAGGTTTGTCGATCTTGATCAATTTTGGAACGTATTGTCCGGTTTTAGTGTCGTTCACATAGACCCTTCCTGCAATAGACAAATCTCTATCGAACCAAGAGTGGGCAATGAGCCCTCCGTATTGCTCAACACCAACTTGAATAAATCCTTCACTATTTTTCTTAGAAATAGGTTTGATTCTAAGGCATGGGGAATCGGTATGGGCTCCCACAATAGAAATCCCGTTTCCATTGACAAACTTGTCTCCAATAGTAAATCCAATCAACGAGGATCCATTTCTGGTGACAAAATACTTTCCTCCTTTGCTCAATTGAGAGTCTTTCCAGTTGGATCTCTCTTGGATCTCTTTGAATCCAGCTTTACGCAATCCAATTTTAACCGTGTTCACCGCATGATATGGTGTTGGTGAATCATTGACAAAGTCGACAAACTCCTGTGCTTGCTTCAATGCTCTTATATCTGCCATTTTGCACCTAAAAATTCAAAACTTTATGATATAGATAAAACTCTACCAATATATAAATTTTTTGTGTTACGTTCAAATGGGGAAAGACGAACAGTGCAAAAATTTCCTACAAAACACCTTAAAAAAACAGTACTACCAATAAATTTGCAACTAAATATATGCTGAATACGCTCAAATGTTACAATCTACTACATAAACACAATATGAATAAAATTTGCACCCATTTTTTCTATTTAGATCTCTATAGTACTCAAATTGACCATATATACTATGACGTAGTGTAATAGAGCATCTTGACAGAAATTGACGTCAAAAGAATGATCACGTGAAAAGATGCAATTATTGCAACAATTTTTCAATCTGAACGGTCTAACAGCTGACGATTATTAACGCTTCTGCTTGACTTATTCACGACCACAGTAAATATTAAACGGCATTGCAGCCATCTTGTATAAATCAAAAGTGGCATCTGAAATTTTTTGTTGTATTTAAACGTATCGTGGAGGTAGAAAATAAATTGAATTAACTTATTCAAATAGTCGGACATAATAGTCACGAAGAGGTGTTTTCAGTAATAATGCCTGAGATGGAAAATATAAAAAGCCATGATGGCGTGAGCAGCAATTCAGCAATCCAATATAAGTTGGCAAGTGATGATTTGGAGAGATTAACGACACCAACGACGGTAGGAGACAACCATAACCAGGTGACAGATGATTTGAACAGAAGTTTATCCACAAGACAGATTAATATGATAGCTATTGCAGGAGTGATTGGGACAGGTCTTTATTTGGGTACAGGAAAGGCGTTGGCGAATGGTGGGCCATTATCGTTGTTGATTTGTTATTCGCTTATTGGAGGAGTGGTGTACTTAACAATGTTGTCTTTGGGAGAAATGGCGACTTACATGCCAATTTCTGGTTCATTTGCAACCTACGCTAAGAGATTCGGAAGTGAAAGTTTCGGGTTCGCAGTCTTGATAAACTACTGGTTTAACGATGCGGTTTCTGTGGCAAGTGACTTGACGGCATTGCAATTAGTTATGGAATATTGGACAAATTTCCATTTCTGGGTCATATCGTTGATTTTTTGGTTTTTTGTTTTATTTTTAAACGTATTTCACGTTAAATTCTATGGTGAGAGTGAATACTGGTTAGCATTATTGAAGGTGTTATCGATTATTATTTTCTTTATAATGAGTATTGTGGCCAATGCAGGACACAACACTATGCACGAGTATATTGGGTTTCAATACTGGTCTCATGGTGATGCTCCATTCGTTGATGGATTTAGAGGATTTGCCAAAACATTCGTAACGGCAGCATTTGCCTATGGGGGCACTGAGTCGATCACTCTTACAGCAGGGGAACAAAAGAATCCGGTTAAATCTATGCCAAAAGTGGTTAAGACGGTGTTTTGGCGTATTTTAATTTTCTACGTGTTCTCCGTTTTCTTTATTGGAATGAATGTTCCTTATGATTATCCAGATTTGTCAAATGGTGATATTACAACGTCTCCTTTTACTATAGTTTTTCAATTGGTGGGAGCAAAGGCTGGTGGTTCATTTATGAACGCGGTTATTTTGACCTCTGTTATATCAGCATGTAATCATGCCTTATTTGCTGGATCTCGGTTGGCATATACATTAGGTACTGAAGGATATCTCCCAAAAATTTTCACTCGTGTGAACCGTTTCAAGATACCTTATGTCGGGGTCCTTGTTACATGGTTTGCAGGAGGCTTGTGTTTTGGCTCCTCATTCATCGGAGCTGGTACTTTATGGTCGTGGTTACAATCCATAGTTGGTGTTAGTAATCAAATTGCTTGGTGGTCAATTGCTATTACAAGTATTAGATTCCGTAAAGGTTTGGAGAGGCAAGGTAAAACTCACCAATTAACCTATAAGAATTGGACTTACCCTTATGGACCATGGTTTGTATTGGTCTTTGTTACATTTATTATTTTGGTTCAGGGCTGGTCAACATTTTCTCCTTGGAACGTGTCCGATTTTTTTTCTACTTATCTTGAAGTAGGAGTTTTCCCATTGACATTTGTGTTATGGTGGTTGTACAGAAAGGGTAAGGATAAGTTTGTTAAATACGAAGAAATGGATTTTGAGACTGATAGATACTTGGAAACTGAAGAAGAATTAGCACAAAATTTATATTCAGAAGGATTAAAAGGATGGGAAAAATTTAGGTATAATTTCGCTGATAATTTCTTGTAATTAGGTTTTTGCATATATAGTATGGCATATTTGTTAACGGTAATGATTAATTTTAGAACTAACTAACTTTGTAGTGAATTTTTCTATTCCTACTTCCACGTAGGTTTACAAACTTCTCTACCGTCACTTAAGGTTTGCTAGTTCTATTTTGTTAAATTAAGGGACAACAAAAAAAAAGATGCGCAAACCCGGAATCGAACCGGGGGCCCAACGATGGCAACGTTGGATTTTACCACTAAACCATTTGC